AGCGAAATACCTATTAAATTACGGTAAGAGCAAAATACGAGATCACTAAGAGTACCTTGCATTATATCTACATTACGCGACGATTCATTTATCGATCGTTTAGAGACGTATATCGCGTAAAGTACTTCGTTGCGGAGACTCATCAACGACCGACGACGATCGAGTGCTAATTAAGCTTTAGCGTTCGTATACCCGCGCCGGCATAATTAAACCGTCCAATGCGCAAACAGATCTATACACTCTGCGTGACTGTACACGCAATACACGCGGACAAAAGATCCGTCTCTCTGGGCTGGTATATACGCAAAGAAAGGTCCGATATACATAGACGAGCCATCGAGATCACTGTACCGAGTCTGATGCTGCTGCTGCTGCTGCTGCTGCTGTTTTACGGATATAAATAGCTGACGCGCTTCGCGCGGGTACACTTTAGAATTTGATCGTTCGCTCGAAGCAGCAGCCGTACAATAGAGTACGCTAGCTACATATATATAATATAACAGAATTCAACGCAAGCAGTATTTTAACGATGACGCGGCGTTAGCGGACTGCTGTATCCTCTTCATTTTTTGTCTCTTATCGCCCGAAGAATTAGCGCACTATTATATTATGTTTTTACTATCTCCTATTTCGATAACGCGGCACGAAGACTCGTTCTTGCTGACTTACGACGAAAGGACAAAAACAAAATATCGAACTCTAGGCAAGTGATAATGGTGACTTTATTTGGGAGGACACGCGCGACACATAAAATATATTTTTGACTCGACGATCAAAACCCTAACTCTATGCGGTGTTCGGGACGTTCGATGTCTCGCACTTGACGCTGTGTAGCAAAATTGATTTTCGAAACAAATTGCATACCTGTCGCACGCTCGAGAGCTGTAATTGTAGCGTGTCTGCGCGCAAGACAACGCGTACGGATAATTACTGTAATGGTGGTGGTGGTATAGTTACAAGGTACACCCTTCGCGAAGGGTCAAACGAAATCGTTAACTCGCATAGCCACGCGGACAAACACACGTACACACACACGAGCAAATCGAATTGGTAATAATTACACCGAAATAAGTGTATAATCTACTTTTCCAAAGTTTCGTTATATACACGCTCTCCGTCTACTCGAGTCGCAAACAGTCAAACGACGTGTATCCTATAAGAGCTGGCCATAGCATAAATAATCGCGCGCGCGCGCGGAGTTTAATTCGAGTCAGTGGCACAGGGTCAGCGAGCGGAGCATTATAAACGTACGTAGTGTGACTTATATTATGACGAATGGAAAGCGTTAAGCGTCGCAGCGCCTGTACGTGTGTGTGTGTGTGTGTGCATCAAAACGCTGAAAATGGCGCTCTATCCGCTATCTCGCATTCGTGCAGGCTGCTGCTGCTGCTGCTGGCGCCGCGATTCGCGACGACGATTCATCGATCACCAGAGTACAACGGCGACTTCGTATACATAGATATAGATATAGATATAAATGCATCGCACCGCGATCTTTATTTCGCGCTTTAACCTCTCGATTAATTATAATAGAGCTCTTGGTGTGCGCGCGGCCGAGCTTGCACACACACACACACACACACACACACACACACACACACACACACACACACACACACACACACACACACACACACACACACACACACACACACACACACACACACACACACACACACACACACACACACACACACACACACACACACACACACACACACACACACACACACACACACACACACACACACACACACACACACACACACACACACACACACACACACACACACACACACACACACACACACACACACACACACACACACACACGCGTATAGAAGTTGTTTTTCCGTAAAGTTGTTCTCTATATATATATATATATATATATACTCGAACAAAAAAATCGATAGTCAAGGTTTAATTAATTTTTTCTTGCACGAGCTCTCTCGCGCTTTACAACCTATATAAAGCTGCGCGTACTACACGGCAATTACCTCGGCGAGCAAAATGCGCGCCAACGTGTTACACACGCCCTATCTATACTGTACAGAGCTTCTTCTCGAGTTCATCTCGAGCGGACATGGAGCAGAGCGTCGAGTCGATCGACGCGAGAGCTTGCGCAAGCTCGACTCGGCGACGACGCGCGAGCTCAATTGCTTTCTTTTTTTTTATGATCAGTTTCACTGCGCAGCAGCTTGTAACTATTATATATAGACTCGTGTATGTACGGATCTCTCATCCCCCTCAACTTTGTATGTGTATCTATGTGAGTGTGTATTCGACAACTTGGACGTATGTTATCATTACGTAACCCGGGTAATTGATGTGTCTAAGTCACGAGTTACTATATACACCGACAGCAGCAGCAGCTGTGCGATAATATTGCTCTATCTCGGAAGTTGAACTTGTTATACAACTTATATTATTATATGCCCGACGTCGATTACTGATTACATTTTCCAACTGCCAGTGCGACGGAGGAAACTCGCTGAGTCGTAGCACAGTTGAATATGAATTCGATATCGTACGCTGCGCTCTCCAGCTCGGATGAAAATTAAACGGTCCCTTAACCCAATATAGCTGCGCGCAGAGAGACAGAGAGATTCTCTGATTCCGCCCGCACACACACAATTCAGAGAGCTGTTCTACTATGTACGAAGGACTTGATCCCCGAAGCTGTATTTGTCCTAGCTACGACAAATCATTACTCTCGTGGTTCTCGATGGTGTAGCTGCTCTGCAACGAGTGTGTGTGTGTGTGTGTGCAGTGTCCGCTCTAACGATCCGCTAATACCGACTACGACGACCCAGAGCTATACCATCAAAAGGAGGATAGATCGTATATAATAATAATAATAATAAAAGCAGCGCACTGAACGCATTTCGGCACGTTGACTCGCGTAAAATGGAAGCTCTGATCGCGTAATACCGACGATTTTCTGTTATTTTCTAGAGAGAGAGAGAGAAAGAGCACATATAGTTATCGACGCCGAGCGCTTTGAACTTTTATTGTGCGGAGAGAGAGAGAGAGAGAAGAGAGAAGAGGGATCCCTTTTGGGCGCCGAGCCAATGAAAAGTCACTCTCTTTCTCTCTCTCACTCTTCGGGGCTAACGAGAAGAAATAGAGTTTGTTATACGTAGAAAATAATTTTTCGAGGATAAAAAGTACACGCGCGTGTAAGCTCGCGCGTGGCCATGGAAAGAAATTCCTTAAAAGGTCATAAACTTCCATTTCCACTCGAATACTCATTACGTTTTTTTTTTGCAACCCTGTCTATCTCTCGTCTCGAAAAAATGAGAAAATAGCGAAGTTAAAATCAACGCTACGTGTTAAAGTATTGCGCGATATAGTTTTTTTTTTATTCCTTTTAAAAGCATCGCGCACAAAAGCGCGCACCTCCTCGCCCCCCGCGCTCCATATACACGTCTCTTTCGACAAAACAACGTCGACGAAAAAAGAAAGGAAAATAGACGAAAAAAGAGAGAGACAGAGATAGAGAGCGAAATGTTTTATTCAGAGTCGGACAAGTTACGAAACGAGAGAGAGAGAGGCGAGTCAAAGGAAGCTCGTGAGAGAGAGAGAGAGAGAGAGAGAAAGAGAACGACAAATAGTAATGAGGATGGAAAAAGAAAAGGACGAGCGAGCGAGTAGTGCAACGCGTGACCGCAGGCGACGGTCTACAACATCGTAGTACGTCTCGTCTATGCCTCGAGTTAATCCATTCTTCGCGTAACTCGAAAAAAGAGAGAGAGAGAGAAAAAAAATTCAAGAGCCAGAGAGATAAAGTTACACGCGGCCGGGTAACAGATTGACTAAATGAAGTAACACTGTATGTGCGGCGCGCAGTTTGTTCGACGCTCTCCTCGCTAAAAAGTTTCGTGTACATTTAATTGAGCGTAATTAAGGCGCCACAGCAGCAGCTACCGCGTCACGAGCTCTCGCGAGAAGCTTTTGAATATATATATATAGTACATAACCGAGATAGTCGAGCGAGAAATGTTGAACGTCAATCGAACAATTAAGAAACTCGAGGGCAAAAAGTCGAGTTACACGTCGTCGTACCGCTGCGCCGCCGCACGTGTTAACGTCGACGAAATTTTCTTATCCCGATGCTCGCGTGAAAAGAGCGAGAGAGAGAGAGAAACGTTCAAGCAGTTCTCTAAAATTGCTGCCTTTTCGACTTTGCGCGCGCCAGCCCGCCCGCCTGCCGTTCTCTTATCTCACTCTGTCTCTCGAGGTATATAAGGAAATCGTCTTTTGTGCACTTCGCATTACTCTCTCTCTCTCTCTCTCTCTCTCTCTCTCTCTCTCTCCTCTTCCCACATATCCTCTATACGTACGTACGTATGTACGTGGCACACAATTGCAAAGGGAGAGCAGCAGCAGCGAACGGCATCTCGCGACGCTAAATCTCGTTGGCGCTCGTGCGCGCGAGTGAGCGAGCAGAGAGAGAGGCGAGCTTTTTCTCTCTCTCTCTCTCTCAGCTAGGCGACGTTAGTTGTACGATATTCCCCAAAGCTCTTCGAGCTTTTTACGCCACGCACGGGGAGACCTTATACTTCTTCTCTCCTACACGAGAGTCCTAATGCGTATTCGCGAGAGACCCAGAGAGAGAGAGAAGCATTTTGTGTGAGTAATTTCAGCTTGATTTCCATTTAAATTCAAGAAGATTCTGCCAACTATCGTGTGCGCGCGCGCGCGCAAGCGAGCCTTTATTTACTCGACAAAGTAAAGTTTCGTAATCAACGTTATATACTTCATGACAAAAAGACGACGAATCGTATCAAGCAAGTTTATAATTCTTTCTCGTAGTCGGAGTTTCATTTTGACGAGTGGATAAATGTCTTATGAGGAAAAAAAAATCATCATATATTCATCAAAAAGTTCCAAAGTTTAACGCTGGCAAATAAAAAAAAAACAATTTCTATATCTTTGATATCTTTTCGACCGTGCAAAAAATTATTCTTACCTCTCCTCTTCTCCTCTTATGTTTACAGCCGCAGCACAAAGGCAAGTACATACTCGAGCATGTGTGCAAACAGCTCAACATCCTGGAGACGGACTACTTCGGCCTGCGCTACGTGGACAGTTGTCGACAAAGGGTGAGTAATCTTTTTGAAACACAAAACTCGAGCGCCACGATTATATATATGCTCAACAGGCCGCCGCGGTATCGATTTCGGTATACATAATCCGATTATAAGATTGCGTTGCAAAATTCATCGATCCTTTTACGCGATATTTGCGCTGATGGATGCCGTTGATTACTGATTTACCAAAAAGCCATTTATTTCGCTCCAATTTTTTTTTATTTTTTCAATTTTTTTTTCTTTGGCTTTTGAGTTCTCGATAAATTTCATACTCGTGCGCGCGCGCGCGCGCTGCAATTGCATCCAAAAAGCTTTTCGGGAGCAAACTCCGAAAGCGAAAGAGTAGTAAATGTGCTGTATACTGTACGTGAATGCACGGGACATGGCGCAGAGCTAGCTATGCTAGCGAGGTGCGGTATTTTTGCGCGGTAAGCGAGAAAAGTCGTAAAACTTACAAAACGTCACGTATCGCAGCGGTTAAAAGCTTTACCTTTTTTCCCTTCTTCTTCTTCTTGCCCGCGCGAGGCTCCAACGACCATTGATCATTCTTGGCGTGCGAGAAAAAAATTTTTTTTTCTCCCCTTTTCTTTTCGCTCTTTCACTCTCGCGTTGACTTTCAGCCGCGCATAATATGTCAACGCGCGTTTTCATTAATTTTAATGAAAACTTTGATACGCATACGAATCATTGTGCCTTCTGCTCTTTCTCTCGTGCATACACACTCTTTGTTGATGTATGTGACGAATTCATCTGGGCGTGTGCACGCAAATATGCACGCGTACGTATAAGCTCATCGAGTGCATCGAGTTTTGCCTCTCGCGAAAATGCCTCCCGTGTTCGCGAATCTCCGAAATTAACTCGTTTGCGCTCCCCGATGAATGCAAAGCTCGCGCGTACGTTACATGTGTATGTGCGATTTTAGCTGCGGAACTCGTGTAAACAACGTACGAATGCGTGCGGGCGGAGCTCTAGTGTAAACATTAATTATTACGTGCATATAACGCGGAAATGAAAATGGAAAATTCTTCGTTTTTTGCATATTTTTCGTTGTTATCGTTTCGCATCTCACCAAAGGTAGATTCCTCGGGGTTAAAAGCAAATAATAAGCTCTCCCAAATGATTAAAGAGCGCCTCGAGGAGCTAATAATATTACACACACACGAGCCGGGGGGCTATTCCGCGTTACTGCGCCACGTGAGCTCTAACGTTTATTAACTTCGCTTTGAACTTCAAATCACACATATAGCAAGAGACTCGTTAGTTACGCTCGACGTGTACAAGAGTGTGTGCGAGAGCCAGAGAAAGCCAATATATAGAATGAACTTATATATTATCTGCATCACTTTATATATAGCCTATATATAGCCAGCGGCCGCGTATACGTACGCTGCTGCACGAGTTTCAAGTTGGTCCCAAGCACGCGCGATTGTGTAATTGACTAGGCAGTTTCGCACGCCCCATCGAGCCAATTGATGCCGATTAATTCGCTCAATGGAGCGCTTTACTCACTATACTCGCGCGCCGAGCGCCGCGTAAGTCTCGCTCCGATTACGTTATTATCCCCTGTGTAGCACGCGATGTAATAATATATATAAGAAAGCTGCTGCTGCTGCTTCTGTGTATCGCGCATCGGCTATTTTTTTCCTGATTCATTGCGTTATCGCGTTAAAAAAAGTCAATCGACGATCGGTACGAAGAGTTCCTCGATCGATCGATGATAATTTTCGAGAGTGAAAATAATGCAATTTGTATTACACACACACATAAACGCGGCGTCCTTGGCCGGCAGTCGAGCCTCGGCGCGAATCGTTTTTAAAGCTCGACAAGTACACGACATCGGCCGGAAAAGTTTATATACCTCGCGCTCGGAGGAAGGTATAGGAGGGGTACTGGGCGCGTGCAGAAACACTAACTCGCGAACTACGGGGCAGCGCCGTAAAAAAAAAGAAGAAAGAAAGAAAAGTAAGCTTTACGACGATGACGCGCGCGGGCGTGGTGCGCCCCCCAAGAAAGTCGATGTATATTTAAATCGCGCGCTCGCTTCGCGCGCGGCCTTATATATCCTTTATATATGCAGTATACACAGGCGATAAAACTTGGGTACTTCATACAGGACTGGATCGTAACTCGAGTTGATGTACATCATTTAACGCGCGTTTGTATGTGTAAGATGTGTGTGCGCGGAGTAAATAAACACTAACCTGTGTATTTTTTTTCTTTGTTATAGCATTGGCTGGATTTGGCGAAAACGGCGATTAAACAGGTCAAAGGTTAGTATTTATCACATACCATGTATCATTCTAAATACTACATAAAAATTGTCAATATAATCTCGCCCGAGTGAAGCTTTAAGTAGTATAAATCCATGTCCGATCGGACACACAGTTATAAAATGTATCCACTGACGTTATGGTTACATCGTCGACGCGTATTGTATTCACGTAACGCGATACGGTTTCGCAGCTGCGGCGCGTGTACGTGACGCAGAACGAAAAATTACGCAAGAGTCGATTACTTTTCTCGTGCAGCGCCTCGAGGAGAGGATGAGGGGGATTGTTCACTGCTACAGCAGCAGCTGCACCCTCAAATCCTCGCGTAACGCACACGGCCAAAAGCACATCTAATCTTTTAAAGTGGCCCCAAATTGCGAAACGCGGCTCGCTCTTTCTTACTCGTATACAGCGTGTACACACATATCGAATAAACACACGTATACGCGCGCGTAAAAATGTCCGAGCTCGCGTGTACACATACAAATGTTGCGCGTATACAAAAGAAGAACGTCTGAAAGCTGGAGAGAGAAGATCGTTGGCACGAAGGCGAGCTTTTCAACCCGACGCAGCCGGCTTAACGTATTTGTGTACGTGTATACGTAGCTGTGTGTCTGTGTGCCATGCAATGACCAGCGTCTCTCTCGTTACGATAGATCCGCATGAAACTTTTAGCACGCATATCTCGACGTAGCTTTTTTTTCCTTCGTTTTTTTTTACTTTCGCCTCCGCGCCGTATACACGGCTTTCGAATATTCTCGAGGAACGAGATTTTTTTCGCAAACACAATGCCTTTAGCGGAAAGAATTCGATAAGGTTTTAAGGCTACTTTATCGGCGTTTGCTATGGCTGAGGCGTTGAAAGGCCTTAGTCCGGTGGCCCAGAAAGGTTTTCGTAGCCGAATGAGCGGAGAGCCTTCAACTAGGGTTTTTTTAGTGTTTCGAATGTTTAAGGTGAATTTGATGAAAGTGGTGTGTTGATATGTCCGAAAGTGTTTATCGATAACTAGTATAATACACCAAACTAATTCAAATAATAGAATAAGATGTTGACTTTTGATTACGGAATATTAAAAAAATATTTATTGCATGGGAAGTAACTGAAATTACCGTTTTCGATTCAGAAACAAATCTAGTTCCAAAGCGAACATTGTAAGTAACGTATTACCGAGGAGCAAGTATAGGAAAATCTTGAGAAAAAAGGTTTGCGTGATTAAAACAAATATAATAACAGTATCTAATATTTTATTATTCCTCATGAAATTAAAGAATTCGTAAGTAAAATATTTGTGTCATGAATGTCTGCGGATACGTTTTAATCTTCTTCCCTTCCCTTCGATTATTTACTGTATTTTTATACCTTAAGTTATATCTAAGTCCAAATGATTTGTAACAAATTTTAAACTTAAAGGGTTTGCTCAAGATATCTCACGACCCTGTACTGCATTTAAGTGAATTTTGAATGCACTCTGGTATTCAAATGACTTGGGACAAACCTCAAATTTAAAGGGGTTGTTGCAATAGTGTACTGCATTTGCGTGTCTATCGAGGTGTTGTTTTTGTCAAAAAGATTTCCAACAAATCTCATTGGCAGGGCTTGCTATGATCATGTACTGCATTCACATGACTTTTGAGGTGATGTTTTTGTCCAAATACCTTGTGACAAATGTCACATACGAAGGGTTTGCTACGATTATGTACTAAACGTATGTGAGATTTGAGGTTATTTTTATATCCAAATGATTTGTGACAAATTTCACATTCAAAGGGTTTTCTATGAACATATACTGCATTGATGTGATTTTTGAGGTGTTGTTTTCGTCCAAATGATTTGTGGCAAATATCACATTCAAAGGGTTTTCTATGAACATGTACTGCATTGATGTGATTTTTGAGGTGTTGTTTCCGTCCAAATGATTTGTGGCAAATATCACATTCAAAGGGTTTGCTACGATCATGTACTTCATATACGTGATGCTGAAGAGTAATTTTTTGTCCAAATGATTTGTGACAAATCTCACATTCAAAGGGTTTGCTGCGGTCATGCACTGTCATTATGTGAGTATTGAGATGACTTTTGTATCCAAATGATTTGTGACAAATCTCACATTCAAAGGGTTTGCTCCGAATATGTACTGCGTTGAAGTGAGATTTGAGTTGGCTTTGGTAATAAAACGATTTATAACATATCTCACATTCGAAAGGTTTGCTGCGATCACGTATTGCTAATATGTGAGTTTTGAGGTGTTTCTTATAAGGTATCCTTTTATCAGATATATTCACTTCTTTGTATTTGTCAACCTTCAATCGGGTGTTCTTTCGAAATGGGCAGTTATTGTTATAATCGAAATCTTTTTTTATCAAAATTATTAGACTTTTTTCATCATAATTAGCCTGAATTCGGTTTTCCATTTTCAAAATTGGCGGATAACTTTGATACTCATTTTTGCAGATGATTGCTGTTAAAGGCTTGAGTTCAGATTTAACATATTTACACTCAAATTCTGCAGGTATATTTTCATCTAACTTTTTGTTTAATACAATAGTCTCGTTTTCACTTTTAACCTAAAATTAAAATTGTGTAAATACTATTGATAATGGAAAACTGAACATAATTTGGATAATTTAACTCACCGATGGTTCATAGAACGTGAGTGTTTCAACGTTTTTAACTTCCGCATCAATAATATTACTGTCGCCTCCATCTGACCAAGTATCGTTTGGCTCCTCTTTCATCCTGAAGAACAATAATAAAATATAGGAGTTAGATAAAGTAATAAATAAAATAACAAAATATCATGACATGAACAAAAAATGTCATGCCTCATTGTCCCCTCTCTGCTGCTTTCCATCACTGGCTAGATTATTGGTTTATCCACTCTGAATTTTCGAGTAGTACACTGAGAAAATATTTGAGGTTATACGCCTCGAAGTAGCCAACGCCGTACCTCGATATCACTTATTTGTAAACACTAGCTCACACAGGAACTCTGCTTCGCACTAGCGAGTAAACTCATCTGTGAATCAGCGAGGTGACCCCACGATCGCGTTAGCTGCTCGGCGATACCTTACCCCCTCTACCGCATAAACTCGATGTCCTGCGCAGAAATGAATCTCGCTCGCATCTAATTTTTCGAAATTCGCATCGGTCTCGCGTCTCGATTCCGTAATTCTCGTTGGCCAATTAAAGTCGAAGTAGGAATAACAGAGTTAGGAGCAGCGAGATCGCCTCGACAGCGGCAAGTGATTTACGAAATAGATCGTATAAAAGTTTAGGATATTGTGTAGTCTGATTTATACATTAAAAAAGAAGATCTTCGCGTACGAATAATCGTGAAAATAATATAAAAAATAATTTAAATCATCGAGGGATCGTTTGTCGGTTGAGAAAGTAAAATGTACGTGCCAACGTCACCGTCGAATCATAGGGCATATCTTATCGAAATAGACCAAAGAACAGATGCTTTTTTGAGGCGCTTTCGAGGACGAATTAATCGGCAAATCGAACAAGAGCGACTGAAATTTCTCGAAGACTTCTGTAAACTCGGATGGAGAAGCCCCAATGGACAACCTCTTGACGTTGCAAAAATTTTGCTACCCGAAGAAATCGAGTGTCTTCTCTCGGATTCTGTAAATTATCGGGGTACGGCGTTTTGGGTTGCGGGGCTAATATTCATCGAGCACGTGGCTAACAGCAGCTACAGAGTCGAGCCACCCAAGATAGATCCAGAAGGCAGGCCTGTGCTGCTTCGCACGACACTGGTACATCGCGCGGCCAAAACCGACAGATGGGAGCTCGTCCGTCCTCTCCTCGAAGTATACAGATACGACGTTAATTTCATCGACGAGGAGTCGGGCTTGACGCATTATCACATCGCCTGCATGGCTGGCCTCTCCGACGTCGAGCGATTCATCAAACACGGACAGGATCCCAATGGTCTGGTCTTGACGGGAACCAACGATTCGCCGCTGCACTTGGCTCTAGGCTACGTGTACTACAATCAGGCGGCCGAAATATTGCTGAGAAGAGGAGCCGATCAGAACTCGGTCAATGCCAAAGGAGAGACACCTTTGCACGTCATTTGCAAGCGTCGGCACGACGCCAAACTTCTGACGCAGATGTTCTTCGACGTCTGCGATGAATTAAATCGGCGGGTGCAGGTCGATGCCCGGGACAACGCGGGTAACACACCGCTGCAATCGGCCGTGAACAATCTCAACCTGGGCGTGGCACATTTTCTCGGAGGTCGTCGAGGCGTCGATACTTCGAGTTTCGTCTTCCCCACGGAGAGGCACTTCGACGAGTGCGTCGAATTTTACGCGGAAGAAAGGGTCGAATCGAAATGGAAATTGATACCCATCGTCTTTGGCCTCGTTGAGTTCTGGGAAAAGAAAAAAAATCTCGATCTGGTCATGAGCGACGTCTTCGCGGTCATGAAATTTTTCATCAAGCTGGGAGTTTACATGACGTCGGTGAAACTGAGCCGAGCGGTGAAAAACGACAAGTGGATGATGCAGCAATTCCGGAATAAAATGAAAGAGCTCGAGGTCCGCGAACACCTGTTTTTGCACGATATGCTCCAGTCGGGAGTTCATGCGGCTTCGAGACACTTCACGTATTCCGACTTCTTAAGAATTCGCAAATCATTTGGCTATTTCAACCAGTGCGACATCTATGTCCATATGAAGATGTACGAAATAATAATGAGAGGATTTTTCCTACGCTATGCAATGAAGTCCTTCAACGAGTTGGCGCGCTTCCGCTTGTCTTTCGATTGCTGTGAAATGATCTTCAACCATGAATTGACGAACAATGATTTGTACAAAATTTGTTTGGCGACTGCAGATGAAAGTGACAGACAGAACGGTGAAATTGATGCAATGACAGATGAAATTAATTATTATTATGTATAGGTTGGAACTACTAGACTAACGCGGGCTATCTTAATTAATCTTTGTTGTAGAATTAACAATGAGTAACAGAAAAGATGATTATCTGTAGCGTGTTTACTTGGCGGTTGAACGCCAAAGCTCAACATAGCAATAAGAATATTTTTGCGGTATTTCTGTTTCATGTCGAATGCTATTCTACGTAGCATATTATCCATGTAAATTAAAATGTCCAATAGATAGATTTTACGATTTTTTTGTCAATAAAACATATTATTACGTAAAATAAAAAAATTCCAAATACGTTTTATTTCGCTCGATCTCACATACGCACACGCGTAACACCATACCTCGAAAATGAATTTTACACTCCTCGCGCTGTACTCTCGGGATACGCGCCACTCTATCTGCCAATAGTTTGGAAAATATCTACTTTACCAGCGTTATTCCATCGTTCGCCTTTTTTTCCCGTTCGGAGTTCTATATTTTTGCAAAACTTTTCCATCGAAGCTCGCTCGCTCGCTCGCTCGCTCTATACAGTTATACGTACACGTATAAAAGGTCCCGAAGTCAAGCGTACATACACGCGTCCATACTGTACAGCGAATTTTTATCAGATTTACCGCGTATACGTGTGCGCGGGAGCGATTCGAAAAAGGCCAAAAAAAGGGAGGGAGTCGACAAAAAATAATAATAATAATAATAACAAAAGCGAGCACTCGGAAACTTTTGTTTTTTCCGATGGATTTGCTCTCTTGTCGTGCCATGCGAGAGTAAGCTTCGTTAGAGTACGCTCGGGAAAATTGTCTCTCTCTCTCTCTCTCTCTCTCTTTCTACGCCATTGTAATTCTGGGCTTTTATGATTTCTTTATCACCGCGCTCGACTTGATATGAAAAGCTCGCCTCTTTCGTTTTTCACCACACTCACATACTCACATATATCTATGGATCTACTGTTTTATTATCTTCCATTCTATGTAGAATGCAGAAGGGGATGGGGAGAGGAGGATAAAATTTACAGCGGCCTGCGCGCGGCACACATAATTTGACTTTCTCGATTAAGCTCGGATACGTATAGTAATAAAAAAGTTTGCGCATCGTGGGTAAAAGAGGCAAGCAACAACACAAAAACGTAGTGTCTGTATTACGTTGTCGTCGCGTACGTCGTAAAAGCGATTGTATATTTGTTTAATTATTATCCCCAAGGTTGGCACGTACGTGCCGACCGAATACTGCGCGCGTATTATTACTACCGGCCAGAAAATGCCAAGTTATCAATCACCCCCGATCGTAAGTCGAGCCACTTTTAAGGACGTAGCCGTACAATTGATTCCGCGACTTTGTGTATCAGCAACAACGATAACGATAATAATACCGAGTCCTGCTTGTGTATTTTGTCGACAGATATGGAGCCGATACTGTTCAGTTTTCGGGTGAAATTCTATCCGCCGGATCCGCTGCGGCTCAAGGAGGAGATCACGAGATATCAGATTTATCAGCAGCTCAAGAGGGACCTGCTGCACGGGCGGCTCTACTGCAGTCCCGGCGAGGCTGCTCTTCTCGCCGCCTGTATCGTACAAAGTGAGTATACACGCACACACATACACAGAATTTTCCGAATACATTGCATTATACATTCGCGTAAACATTTGCTTTGCAAATCTTGGGGGGATGTATCTCGAGTCTCGTCGGGAAAACGAAAAACGAAAAACCAGCGGCAAAAACATTTTGTCGTGTATATATATGCAGCCGAGCTGCCACTACTACGCAGGGTCGAGAGGGAGAGATAGATAAATTACACTGTAACGTTGCAACGTGTACCGGTCCCCCTGCATATTCATGAAATTCCTATATTTGCGCGTGCCGAGTAGTTGTGCATGCCCCGCGATCCCTTTTGATCCGTCTCGTATAACTACTACTACAGGTGAACCTCGTCTACACTCGGATACGCGGCGCGGCGTTTGCATGTTATTAAACGCGAGCTCACCTCGAGACTTTTGCTCGCGGGATTAGACACACAAAACGACGCGCGATTCAAAATTAGCCTTTTGTATACACGCGCGACGAAATCAATTTCGACGATCAACACGAGCTGCGTACGGAGCTTAAAATCGATCGTATCGAGAATAAATCTCCGTAGATCGAGCTATATGTGCATACTACTATCGATTTCGGTATTACGCAGAGCTCGAAAGCTCACCGCGGTACGATGCAAGATTAAATTTTACACCCGCGAAAAATGATTAAAAATCTCGCAGTGCCGGTGGTAGTGGCGGTGGATGATTTCGCGCTCGTTGCATAAGTACGAGCTTTCGCGAGTTGGGGGGGAAATTGCACGCGTATTATACCGCACGAGAGCTCGAAATTGAAGCCTCCTTCGGGCGCGGCGGCGGCTGGAGCGAACAATGGCCTTTTCCCTCGGCCAATTTGGAATCCAGCCTCTGTGAATATATACACTCGGCAACAAAATTATCGCAACAAAAAAATTCATCGAAATTTTGTCGATTTTCAAATGCTTCTATCTTGGGCTAGATTTATCGTATCGACACGCTTTTTTTTTTAATTTCTTGGAAATTTTGTCCTCTTTAAATCCATATAAATTAAGATAAGATTTGAGTTAATGTTGAGTTACCAGTAGTATTTGAGCGTGACCCTAAAAATTACTGAAAAAAAATGACTGTTTGAACGTGTACCAGTACCACAGTGATTTTTTTATCGAAATCTAACATACACCATCGCAAAGTGCTCTTTTCAACGAGTAATTTAAAAAAAAAAAGACCTCTCTACGATTTTTTTAACGCCCTGTAGGTCGATTTGAAGGTACGGTTTATGTACGCAAAATGACCAGAAAATCGTCTTGATTTCAGGTAAACGGGGGATTTTACGTACTTTAAATGGTATCTTCAAATCGACCTACAGGGCGTTAAAAAAATCGTAGAGAGGTCTTTTTTTTTTTAAATTACTCGTTGAAAAGAGCACTTTGCGATGGTGTATGTTAGATTTCGATAAAAAAATCACTGTGGCACTGGTACACGTTCAAACAGTCATTTTTTTTCAGTAATTTTTAGGGTCACGCTCAAATACTACTGGTAACTCAACATTAACTCAAATCTTATCTTAATTTATATGGATTTAAAGAGGACAAAATTTCCAAGAAATTAAAAAAAAAGCGTGTCGATACGATAAATCTAGCCCAAGATAGAAGCATTTGAAAATCGACAAAATTTCGATGAATTTTTTTGTTGCGATAATTTTGTTGCCGAGTGTATATGTCCTTTTATGCTTATTGCCTCTTCTCCCTCGCTCTCGTGTGTGTGTGTGTGTATATGCGTCTCCGTGTCAATGCACTCGGTAATACATACATACACCCACACACACACACATGAAAATCTTTTATGATTCTGGATGAATATAGTTTTCTTTCTTTCTCTTTATTTTTTTTTGTTTTGGACCGCTCGCGCGCATGTGTGCTAACATTATTATTACTATATACATTCATACGCGGAGGGAGGACTATATAGGCTTGTTATAAGCTCTCTCTCCCTCGAAGTTCTTCGCCCTCTCTCTCTCTTCTCGCGAGCGCGCGATACACTTGTTTTTTTCACTCGTGACCTGTTTTTGTTTTTCGCTGATGCTGCAGCTTTTGCAAAGTCGTCGTCTGTGTGCGAAACTAGGATACGCGCTCCGTCGTCGTCGTCGTCGTCGTCTCCATCGCATACACATACATCGTGTGTGTGTATATGTATGCACGCGCTCGCTCGGTACTTTAGAGTGATTCATGAGATTTCGGGCAGCGCCGCGCCGCATACTACTCTCCGTACTGCTACTACTACTACATACTACTATATGCGCTCGTCATGTGTTTGTTCGAAGTGATTTATCAGAGTTCTAGTTTTCTCCCTATATACGCCATCCTCCCCCGCGCGCGCGCAACTTTTCTCTCTCTCTCTCTCTCTCTCTCTCTCTCTCTCTTTCTATATTTCTCGCCCTCGCGCGTTATTTACTTTTTTTTCTTCTCTCTTACGTAAGACGATGCGTAAACAGCAAAAAATTTTTACTTCTTCGTCTCGCCCAGGCGAACTCGGCGATTACGATCCCGAGCTGCACGAGGGCAACTACATCGCCGAGAACAAGCTGCTGCTGAAGCAGACCGAGTCGATCGAGGAGAAGGCTCTGGAGCTCCATCAGACGCAGCTCAAGGGCTTCAGTCCCGAGCAGGCGGAGACGCACTTCCTGAGGCTCGCCGCGCAGCTCGACACCTACGCCGTCGATCCACATCCCGTCAAGGTAATTAATACAATACTTACGTATACATGATGTTTTTTTGTGTGTATAATAATAATAATATAACGTACCGAGAGAGAATTTAGGTGTCGATGAACTTGCGATTATGTTTAGACACGATCGATTTGTTTTCATATATGCAGTACGTGCGAATTTTCATTCACTTGGGCTAGGGTATAGGGAGATTAAAGTGGATGAGACGCGCGTATGTGTGTACAGTAGCTTCGAGAAAAGATTGAGGTACGTTTTATTTTTTTATTAATACTACAATCTGTCCATCAGAGACAATAATTAAATTTTTTTCAAGTAAATAAAAAAATTAACAGTTATAAATGGATACATAAATTAAAATAAAGTTCAAGCGAATCAATGCATCCATCGTACTCCATCACGAATTTAGACTTTCGTCCGCCGCAAAGATACACCACAGATCCTCGTTACTCAGATCCGCGTTCTCCACGATCATGTCGCAGACGAACCAGGGCAGCCTGTGATGCATCAGTCGCTGCAGTGGCTCCAGGGCCCATCGCTTGAAGAATCGCCTGCCCATCTGCTCGCACAGATAAATCGCGCAGAGCCTCGACATAGTTTCGTTATGCGACAGACGATCGCCGCGCGCGAACTCGATGTAGTCCCGGTAGGTGAGCAGCTTCCTGGCCTCCTTCTCGCCACCCTCGGCCCAGAACACGTCGTACAACGACACGCCCGGCTTCATCCGCTTCCCTTTGGCCTCCTCGGCCAAGTTCTCGTATTTGCGAATGCGTCCGACGCAGTCGCGCAGCCGGGGCGTCACGCGCAGACCCGCGTCCAGGAACAGGCGCATGACGGCGCGGGCGTCCTCGCGGCTCAGCTCGTACGCGCCACGGCGCTCGAGGCTCTCGCAGATGGCCAGCACGGACGAGGCCAGCAGCAGCTTGTACTCGATCACCCAGCGCTCGCGTTTCCGCCGAAATGTGTCGGTGATGTCGTGTCCAGTGGCTGTGATCCATCCGAGCCACTCGTTCACGTCGCTGGGCTCGGGGAAAACGAAGCCCGGCCCGAGATCGGCGCCGCGGTCCAAGAGCGCATCGAAGTCCTCCACCCGGAGATTCTTCGTGGCCAGCTGCAGGGCCGTACGACCCGAGCTGTCCCGGGCGTCGATTCGCACCGTTTGCCGTCTCTCGTCGCAAATGGCGAAAAATTTCTCGACCGATCCTTTGTACCAATTAAACTGAATTCTGTTGCGGCAGATCATGTGCAGAGGAGTCATGCCGTCCTCGTCGGCTGTGTTGGGATCGGCGCCTCGTCTCAGCAGCAGCTCGGCTGTCTTGGATAATCCGCCGTTGAACAGAGCCCGATTCAGCGGAGTCCGACCGCGACCGTCCCGGGCCTCGAGCTGCACCACCGCTTGAATTTCATCGACCGTCCTGAAAAATTGCGAGACAGCATCGCCGCAACCGGCGAGAATGTGCAGAGGAGTCGATCCGCTGGAGTCGCGCTTATTGGGATCGGCCCCGTTCCTCAGCAGAACGTCGACGACTTTCATCTTAAGGCGGTTGTGCAGTGCCGCGTGCAGCGCCGTGTCGCCCTCTTGGTCCCGGACATCGACTCGCACGGGCCGATATCTTTCCTGGCTGCGCTCGAACAACATCTCGGCCAGCTCGTCGTCGGAGTTATCGTAGCCGTTGTGTTTTCTCTTGGCGACGATGTGCAGAGTCGTCGATCCCTCCGCGTCGATCGCATTGGGATCTGCCCCGTGCTCCAGCAGCACTCGCATGGACAACGCATGGCCGTGCTCCGCGGCGTAGTGAAGCGGGGTCTTGCCCAGACCGTCCCGGGCGTCGATCAGCAGCCTCGATTTGCCCCGCTCCGCGACGACGAGCTCGGATATCCTGTCGGCCCAGTCAGCGTCGCGGCTGCCCTTCGCCAAAAAGTGCAGCGGCGTCAGTCCCTTGGCGTTGGCCAGGCTCGGGTCGGCGCCCTGTTCGAGCAGCAGCTCGAACAGGCTCTTGAGGCCGCGAGCCAGAGCCGTGTGCAGCGGCGCGTTGCCCAGCTTGTCGCGCGCGTCCACCCGCAGCGGCCGATACTTCTCCTGGCTGTGCTCGAACAACGTCTTGGCCAGGTCGCGAGCGTGTCGTCCTCTGCACACGATCGTCAAGGCTGTCGCTCCTCTGGCGTTGGCCGCGTTCGGGTCGGCGCCCCGTTTCAGCAGCGCTTCCGCCACCTTGCCGTTCGCGTGCCTCAGAGCCAAGTGCAGCGGCGAGTCGCCCGTCTTGTCCACCCGGAGATCGGGATCGTAGCCGAGGCGCAAAAATTTCTCGACCACGTCCTCGAGGCCGGACACGCAGGCCGCGTGGAAGTGCGTGAAGCCCCAGTCGTCGGCGTAGTTCGCGTCGTAGCGATCGTAGATTTTGAACAGTTCGCGGAGGATATTTTTGTCGGGTACCTTGCAGCCGGCCTCGAAGTGCACGGCGGTGGTGCGACGCAACGGTGGCTTGCCCGACTCGTCCAAGTGGCTGGGCGGCTGGTCCTTGTAGCCGGTGCGAGCGACGAAGCCGATGAATCGTTCTCCGCGAAAAGTCTTCGGATGTCCGTTGAATTTGATCGAATCCCAGATAAGTTGCTCGACTTGTCCGGGCTGGAAGATGTCTCGGAGATCGGGAAGTTGATCCGTCCAGTCGGTGACCAAAGGGTCCAGTTCACGGAGTAATTCGCGTCGCTCCGCTTCGACATTCCAATCGACTTTTTGACACAAAGTCTTAAATTGTTCTAACTTTTGTTGATTAATACCAGACATTTTGCTCACGAACCCGTAAAAATAATTACTTACACGATATTTTTAACTCTTTTATTTGAAAAAAATCACTCGTGCAGTCGGTGCGATCTCTTTGCGTTGTTCACGCCGCGGCGTCGTATCGTGCAATGAGCATACGCTCGCTAAAGGATCTATGAGGAGCGTAAGCGTGTGGCCTAGCTGTACAGTGGGAGAGCAAACACAAGCCACATCAATAAAAGATATACAAGTAGCTCCATAGATACGTATAGAGAATAAGCGAAGGAATGAATGAGAGAGCGCGTAAATCCAGCGTAGCGCGGGTCGCTCGTGTGTACAACATACGCGTCGACTGAGCAAATAGTCCATGTTTAAGCATAGGCATAGCCCCGATTTCGCTGAAGTTATACTTTCTCATCTTATATATTGGATTGGCCGACTCCGACAAGCGAAGAGCAAACAAACTGAGAGAGACGGAGATACGCGACACGCCGTATAGTTCGGCTTCGCGATACTCGAACAAATTTTCTCAGATAGTTTTTGTTAATATTATTATGTGAAATTGCCCGCTGACGCCGAATTTGCAAGATGGCCGGCCTAAAAATATGCAAAAAATTATTTAAATAATATTTTTAAACAGATGTTCAAAGTTTGTGTTTTCCGGTCTAACGATACTTATTTTTTAGTCAATTGGACTATTCTAAAGGGTAAAGGTCTCTTGACATTTTTTGCTAAAGATTATAAATTTCAAGATATTTAACATTTTAAGTTCGTGAATACTCAAAAATAGTCAAATTTTACGTCGAAAAACTATATGAAAAATGTAAAATTTCGATATTATTTTAGCGATCTCTAAAACTATTAAAATCTCTTTACAATGTACCTCTAAATTTCAAACAATTCAAATACTTTGAACATTTATCACTAAAAATTAACAATAATTGTTAAACAATTATCAAAGTAGTAAATTGTTTATAGCGCTGTGGGATTTTTTAAAAGATCATTTTAAGTACAGGCACCGTATGCATTTTCGATTTTCCATAAATTTTTTTTTCCTCAAAATTAGTTATTTTTATAGATTTCTTTTAACATAAAATATGGAATAACTTGAAATCTATCAACTTTCGAGAAAAATGTCAAGAGACCTTTTCTCTTTAAAGTAGTTCAATTAACAAAGTAAGACTGCTGCCAACTTGAAAAACGTACATGTTGACAATTTGTTTAAACAAAAGTTTGAACAATTTTCGGAAGTTTTTTAGGATTGGTAACATGCAAATGCGAATTCAGCTAGTCATTTTATAATAAAAATTATGTAAAAATACCGACTAAAAAAGTTTTTTTATGTATTGTACAGCTATAGCTATCGGCTGAGTATCTCTATCTCTCTCGCGCAGTGTTTGTTTGCTCATGTTGCGTAGAGGGGGAGTCGCCTACAATTCGAGGCCTGGACTAGCAGAGACGTTACAATTAGTCTGTTTCCGAATAGACGGCACCTATATCTATATACACATGGAACTGAGTGAGAAGACTCATGTATGCGGTACACCGTAGCGGATTAAAAAAAGAGTTGCTCACGCGAATGATTATTTGTCGCTTAGTTGAAGCAGTTGATTTTTGAACATTTGGAAAATTAGATTCGAAGCATACTCAAAATAGAATCCTGGAAAGTATTAAGAAAATCGATATGTCAATTAGGAGACTTCTAATAATATTAAAGAATGTAAAACACTTATTGGTTTAACTTAAATAATTAAATGATTTTCACCTTGGTGTTTTCAGTAAGAAATTATTTTCACTGACGATCTCGTCTCTCTTGGCAGAAATGATCAGTGTCTGTATGAAAATTTATCAAAATCTTTTAATAGGGACTATTTGATCAATTTAGAGTCGCGTATCGCTACTTGACAAAAATCCAGTAGTCAATTAAAAGCTCGTCTCATTCACGGTTCCAAATGAGACGTGAAAAAAATTCTCGTCCACGAAGAGTAGAAATTTACCGGCGTCTGGTTAAAAAATGAAGTATCTTTGACAACAATGAACAAATACGTAATGATAGTTTATATAGCACGAGGTTCAGGTAAGACACAATTGTATAGGTACAATTTTTATTGACATTTTAGAAAAGCTTGTACTTGAACATCTATATAAGTTTCTATAGATTTACAATTATCAAGAGAAAAATTAGCATTTTTTCATAATATTATTTAAAAGATATACATCATTTTTTAGGATCTATTCCAAGCATAAGACT